GCAAACAAAACACCAGAAATTCACAAAATAAAAAATAAATAAACCTAAGAGAAAAGCAGTGTGAACTTGGGACACTGCAAAGGGACACAGGCCGCCATCCTCACCCACTGACAGAAGGTTCCTGAAGGTCTCCAGCATCACATCACGGTACAGCTTCCTCTGGGCAGCGTCCAGCATCCCCAGCTCCTCCTCACTGAAGACCACAGCCACGTCCCTGAACGTCACTGCCTCCTGTGACAGCAAACACGTACCACCTCAGTTTCACACCCAGCGCCACTAGGACCTGAGCATCTACAGGGGCCTGATCACTCCTTTCCATGGCTACAGAGAGGCTGGGGGCAAACGAGAAAAACACTAGCACCGGGAACACCGGTGCCTTTGTGTAGCGGGGTCGCCGTTAAAGCGGACGCCACAGACTTCCGAGTTAGAGAGCGCAAACCCACGTCAGGAATAATGTGCCGAGTCTGTGCTGGAAACAGCTGGCAATGCCCGGCTTCTCCTGGGCAGCAAGGCTCAGGTGTACTTTCATCCCCTAAATTCAAAATGTCCTGGAACCCATTTTATGAGTGATGGCATCATTTTAAAGTGATTCACGCCGGCAGAACATTATAGAGTTCTGATTCAGAATTCTTTATTTGTAAAGTCTATGCAAGTGTTTCCAAATCCAAGCTTCTACATGTGAAATGTTTCTGTGTCCTGGAGAATATGACAGATGGCACTAAAGTCTGAATCATTCGTGATGTCCTTAGTCCTGTCAATCTAACAGGCTTCTGGAACAGCCAGCAGCTCTGTTCTGTGCTCTCAGGAACATGCCTCTGCCAGCAGCAGCTGCGTTCAGGATCACAGATGCAAGCACGGGCTCTGCAAACCGTAAGGGCCTCAGTTCATGCTCCAAGGCTCCGTGCATCCCTGGCCTGATGAGCCTGGGAATCTGACTTCTCAGTGCCTCAGTTTCCCCCATCTGCGGAGACCACAGAAAGGGCCTACAACCACATATGAAACACACAATATGTGTCCAACAACACTACCATCATTCTCTGTATTCTGCCATTCATGGCCACATAGTGTCCCATAAAGGCTGCATTACACACATATAACTTTTAAAGGACACCACCCATACAAATACAATAAATGTAAATTTTTTAATTAAGTGAAAGTTTTAGAAAACTGCTATTTTTAATCATTTACCAAAGTACCCAAGTTTTTTTTTTTTTTAAGTGTCCTGGTTATGCCAGAATACAAAGAATGAGGGATACTTACTGTCTGCAAATTAACTGGAAAAGCTGCCACTGCTTTTAGCAAAATAAATGCATTTACTCCTTGGAACTGACTATAGGTAGCTGGAGAAGTTGGCTGAACACCATGTAAAATACACTCCTTTGCATTATAATTCCTGTTTAAAAGAACCGAAACATGCCTCAGCCTCCTAGTGCACAATGGTAGGTCATAAATGTACTGAGTTTCCAAGCTGCTGGTGTCACCACCAGAGCACACGACTCACGTGATCCCAGCTTGTCTGTACATGTGTCTGTGTGTCTCTCCTTTCCTCATACCTCCACCTCCCCAGCTGGGTCCACCTCCGAAGCTGTGTAGATGGCAGCAGCCAGATGCTCTCTGACTGTGCGGGATATGAATGCTCAGAATGCCAAATGAGGCGATGAACGTGACCAGTCTTCTGTGTGCACATGTGTACACAAGTATGCATGCGTGTATGTGTAATTATATGTATGACTGTGCACGCGCATGTAAAGGCCAGGAGACAACCTCCAGTGTCCTTCCTCAAGGGCCAGCCACCTTTTCCTGTTTTTGTTCAGGGTCTTTCAGTGGCCTGGAACTTGCCAACTAAAAGACCCTACTTCGTCAAGGTACTACTTCTTCAAGAAGAAGGCCCAACTCTCAATAGCTGTCCTCTGACATCTACATGAATGCCTTGGCATGCTCACATCCACCACCACCCACCCCGGTATTCATACACACACACACACACACACACACACACACACACACAATTAGTAGTACAAAATTTAAAATGAACAAGTTTCATAAACCACACCAATATGGAGAACTCATACATATTTGCAAAATAAAACTGGCAAACCGTAGAAAATGATGTGACTTTTAAAATGTAAGTGAACTTAATTCTTTTTTAATGTATGTGTATGTTATGCGGCTATGTGTGTGTGTACATGTGTGTGCAGATGCCCTGAGAGGCCGGAAGAGGACATTGGATCCCCTGGAGTTGGAGTTACCGGCACTTGTGAGTTATCAGAAGTGTGTGCACTGGGAGCCAAACACCCCCTGGAAGAACAGCTTAACTGCTGAGCCATCTCTCCAGCACACTTTTTCTATTTCAAAATTTATTCTTTTACAAATTTCATGTGCACAACACACTTTGAGCCACATGCCCCCCATTATCCTTTTTTACCACCCCCCCACACACACACACACAACTTTCTTCTTAGCAACACCTCCTCACACTTTCCCACAGTTCATAGCGCTTGCCCAGCGTACAGGGGTCATGTTTTCAATCCCTAGCCCTGAGCAGAGTGAAGGAAGCCCATTCAATTTACCTTTAACTTGGTCATTGTTCTCTTCTCCCTGGGACAAGGCAGGGCTCTGGGACGCAGGCTGGAGGAGGAAGGGTTTTGAAAGAGTATCGTTAGCACAGTCAGTCCAGCGACTTCCTCAGCTTCTCCATCGGCCCCAAGCGCTGCCATTCCACGTCTGTGCGCTTCAGCCTGGCTTTCCTACCTATTTCGCACTAACCTGCAGAGTAAACTCCAGGATACCAAGCCACCCGTGCACCACCTCACTCCCCGCAAAGGGTGAGCAAAGTCCGCATCCTATTCCCTGCAGCTTCAGGGCTGCAGCAGACACTCTTAACTTCACAAAGCTGCTCGCAACTCTGATGAAAGACGTGTTGTGAGTGAGTGACCATCAAACTCACAAGGGTCTGTTCACTGTGATCAGCTATCTTAATATAATTGTTTCCATCCGTAGGAGTTAAACTGTCCCCTCCCCCGTCTCTCGTTCTAAAAGATTTAATTACTAGTAAACGTTGCTCATCTCCAAAAGCCTCCACAAAGTCTCTTCTCCCACGTGCATGAAGATAATGACCAATAAACACCTCAAACCCTCTCTAAAGAAAAGGGCGTTTGGATCGGTGAGATGGCACAGCGGGCAGAGGTGACTGCCGCTGAGCCTGACCGCCTGAGTTCAATTCTCTGGACCCCACATGGAGGAAGGAGAGACTCGATTCTCACAAGTTGTCTTCTGACCTTCTCCATACACACAAGCTGTGGCAGGTCCCCTCTCTAAGTAAATAAATAAATAAATAACCGCAGAAATATTGCATTTCAAAAACAGAATTGCATACCACTTAAGGCTTCAGGACGCTGGCCATCTGTCATCACAGCTCCTCTTGCCAGGCTCCCAGGGGAAGCTAGACTCTCCTGTGGGCTCCCAGCAGCTGAGATGGATCCAGAAATCCAGGGCAGCGCCGCCTCAGGTAGAGTCCAGAGTGAGAGGACCCAGCCGCGGCCGCCCCGTTCCCGCCCAGGTCGCAGGCTCGGTCCCTGCGGGAAAGACTCCGGTAGCACGAACACACACGATGGGCCACGGGACGCTCCAGGATCTCCCTCCTTAGAACCACTGCCAGGTAGCCTCGCCTAGCAGAAGCGGAAGCGACCCCCGACTGCCGCTGGTACCAGAACCACAATTCCCAGAATGCCTCAGTGGAAGCGCCTAGCTCTGATGCCTCTCTAGCACCGCATTCCCCAGAACCCTAAAGCGTCCATAAGCTTCAAGCTATTCTAACCAGAGTGCACTCAGCAGAAATCGGTTTTCAGGAGCGTGTTCTCAGGACTGCTTTTCGTTTTGTACATTTCTGAAATGCCATTAAAGACAACTGTGGATACTTTTAAAAAACTGGTGTACTATATTATATTGCATTACAAGGGTTTTTTTTGGTTTGGGGATTTTTGTTTGTTTGTTTTTTGAAACAGGTTTCTCTGTAGCTTTGGAGCCAGCCCTGGAACTCACTCTGTAGACCAGGCTGCATCAAACTCACGGACAGCCATACCCGTTAACCCCCCCCCCCCCCCCCCCCCCCCCCCCCCCCCCCCCCCCGCCCCCCCCCCCCCCCCCCCCCCCCCCCCCCGCCCCGTGCTGTGCACTACCACCGTCTAGCTGCATTACAAAAGTTTAAAGCTTAAACTGCACAGATGTGGGAACTTGGCTCAGCAGCAGAGTCAGAGCCCCTGCTTAGAAACCCTCAGTGGGGAATGGGGGTGGTCTCAACGGTAGAGCCCCTGCCCGGAATCCCCCAGTGAGGGGCTGGAGTGTGCCTCAGTGGTAGAGCCCCTGCCTAGAATCCCCCAGAGAGGGGCTGGGGTATGACTCTGTGCTTCGTCATTGATGGCTTCTTAAAACGGGGTGCTATGACTGAGATTTGGGGATAGAATGACATCTGCTACTCCCCAAAATATATTCAAGGGTGGGGACACCAAGGAGTCTACTTATGACTTTGCTGAGACAGCTTATAGCTGGAACCCACTCTAACAACAAGATTTTGTGTGCTTTAAGGCTTTAGGATTTAATAGGAAAAGATAAACTAATATATTTTTTTAAAATTCAAATCCGTATACATGGGATTGATGGTTCCATGGTTAAGAATTCATTTTGCTCTTACAGAGGACCCAAGTTTGGTTTCCAGCACCCACACTGGGCAGCCCCCAAACACGTGACTCTAGTTACAAGGGACCCAATGCCCTCTCACCTCCCTTCTAAAGCAACTGTACACACAAGGAATAAATCTTAATAAATATTAAAATTAATATAATCGTATGTTGTATGCAAAGCTCTCTCAGGGCTGGAAAGATGGCTCGACAGTTAAGAGCAATGGCTGCTCACCCAGTGAACAGAATTCAGTTCCCAGCATCTACATGATGGCTCACAACGGTCAAGAACCCAGTCCCAGAGGATGCAATGTCCTCTTCTGGTATCCACAGCGCCCCATGCACATAGAATGCACAGACAAAGCATTGAGGGCTGGACTGATTAATCCAGGGCTTTCTCTGAGGCCCCAGTGAAAACACAAAAGGAACCTACTTCTGTGACCTTGCTCAGGAGTGGAATTGACAGGGCTGGTCTAGAGCTGAGGCCTGGGCCTCAAAGGTCCTGGGAACTTGGCTTTCCCCATGAAGACGCTGGAGTTATCAGTCCCTCGGCTGCTGCGCGCTCATCTGGAATGCGCTTAAGGTACTATGCCCCTCCCCCGTGCAGCACTGCTTGATGAGCCCCGTTAGCACTGTCCCATCTTCCCTCCAGAAATAATATATAAAGTGTACTTCCTCCTCTTTTTCTTCTTTTGTTTGTTTGAGATAGGATTTCTATGTGTAACTCTGGCTGTCCTGGAATTTGCTGTGTAGACCAGGCTGGCCTCGAACTCACAGGGATCTGCCAGCTAACATTAAAGGCTTGCGTCACCACACCGGGTGGTTGGGCTTTTTTTTTTTTTTAAAGATAGGTTCTCCTTTAAGTTCAGGCTGGACTAGAAAGTCATTGTCTACCTCCAGACTTGTGTCCCTTCTGTAGATTCTGTACCTTGGATTCCTGATTATGCTGGCCCCCATTTCTTCAAAGCATATGCCCCATGATGCCACACCCTGATGTTCTGTTCGTGTCCTGCGTGAGTATTGAACCTAGGTGAGGTCTTTCACTAGCCTTTATCCCTCGGATACCTTTTAATTTCCTCTCTTCTCTCTTTCCCTCTTCTTTCTCCCATGGGCCTCCAATCATCCAAACATTAGACTCCACACTATTCTACTTTTGGATGCTTATTTTTTTCACATTTTGGGGGTTTAACTTTAAAAAAAAACAAAAGATAAGATGTCTTGTAGCCCAGGATAGTCTCAAACTTCTTCTGTAATTGATAAAAAGTCTGAACTCCTAATCCTTCTGACTCCACTGCTCAAATTCTGGGATTACAGGCATGCACCTCCATGCCAGGCTCATGGATATTTATTTTATTAAATATCCATCATGGGATATTTTTATTGACCTACAGTCAAGTTCTCTGTTACTTTTCAAGCTATGTTATGCATATATATAGATATATTGGTTTTTCGAGATAGGGTTTCTCTATAGCTTTGGAGCCTGTCCTGGCACTAGCTCTTGTAGACCAGGCTGGCCCCAAACTCACAGAGATCTGCCTGCCTCTGCCTCTCAAGTGCTGGGACTAAAGGTGTGTGCCACCACCGCCCAGCTGTGCATAATTTTTGTAGTTGATGAGACAGAGTATCACAAGTTGGCCTCAAATTCACAATTTTCCTGCCTACACCAGCTAATGGTGTGTGCACCGCCATGTCAGATTCGGAAACATTCTTTACAAGCTTTCTGTCTGGAAATCTCCCTGCCGCCTCTATCAACTTGCATGGAAGCCTATCTGCTTATGGGTGATAACATCTGCCTTTTCCTAGACCCATGGTCATAACGATCAAGCCAAGGCTATGCTCACAAGTTTGAGGCAAGCCTGGGCAATGTGAGTCCCCCAAAACCCCTGAACTTGGTCTTCTCTAACTGTCATTGTAGTGCTTAGTCTGCTGTCTCCTAGTAAAGGGAAAGGCTGCACAGCACAGGACAGCAACAGGCATGGAAGGAGTGGTGTTATGCCTGGAATTGAGTGCACCTGCTTTGCCAGAATATTACAGCAGAACATCGAACGGATCTGGCCAGGAGTTTGGCTGGAATAGGGTCACTCTCTTGAAGTGGTTGTCTCAACGGTATCACGGGGCCAACTTAGTGTTGCTTCGAGCTTACGGTCAGAGTGGGAGTGATGGGGGACTTTTTCAAGTGTCCCTGCTGTTCGCTCAGCTTTTGGCCATCCCTGTGTATATGTACCACAAAAGATTCTCTACCCAAAGTTTCCCTTTTTCCAAGATAACCTGCCATTGCTTGGAACATTGTTGTCTGAAGATCCAGGGATATCCCTTGCTGCCTCTTTAGTCTTTTCTGACTGAGGTCTACAGAGGTCTCTTCAGCCACACATTGCTGAGACAGAGTTCTTACCTTATTATTCTGTCATCTTGTGAGCAACTTAAAGACAAGAGTTTGCATGGAGAAGCCAGGCGACAGCAGAGCACGCCTTTAATCAACTAGCACTTAAACTCAGGAGACAGACACAGGCAGTCTCTGAGTTCAAGGCCAGCCTGGTCTGCAGAGTGCGTTCCAGGACATCCAAGGCCACACAGAGAAACTTTGTCTTGAGAAAGAAAAAAATTAAATTAAGGAAAAAAGTTTGCAGGAAGGGTTTCGTGTGAGAGAACCTAGGAAGCAACAGAAAGGCCAGTGCCTGAACCAGGTCCGCACCTCACCTCTCTTATTGCTACATTTGTACATACTGACAAATACTGTTCCTAGTCCAAACAGCTCTGAATTTTCTCTTCCTTGGAATTCAGAGGATCCTGGTTGATAAAGCCACCATGGGCTTGCATAATCTTCCCTTGGAAGTAGTGGTTGACAAAGGGATGAATGGGGGAATGAGAGATGGCTCAGCAGTTAAGATCACTTGCTGCTCTTCTAGAAGACCAGAGTTCATCTCCTAGCACAACCATCTGTAACCCCAGTTCTGGAAGAACCAAATCCTCTTATGCCCTTCATGGGCACTGCATTCATGCGCACTAATACATAACACACATGTGCTCACGCACACACAACCAGCCCTAACAGTGAACCATAAAGAGGAAGACCTTATTTAAAGAATACTGCACCTGTCTGCTTAGGACAGAGATAGGGGTGCTCAGCAAACTGCTGTTATTTAATGAGACTATTGTTTGAGGTCCTACATTTTAAATGACAGTCACTTATTTGCAGTCCCTTCTAATCCATTTTGAAATACATTTTCAAATGTGGTATCTTTGCATATTTTTACTCATAGAGCAAAAATCATTGAGTGACTATTTTGAGTTAGGAAAAATCATGGTTGCTGTGGAATAATATTTTTGTGTACTATGAATATGTATTACTCTCGTTAGCTAATAAAAAAGCTGATTGGCCAATAGCCAGGTAGGAAGAGACTGAGCACAAGAGCCAGGTTAGGAGAATTCTGGGAAAAGGAAGGGTGGAGTCAGAGAGTCACCAGCAAACACAGAGAAGCAAGGTGAGGATGCTGTGTAGTGATATTTTGTTTGTCCTCTAGCAATAAAACTTGTCTAGAGATCAGAGTGCAGAACTATCCACTAGTTAATCAGAGAGGCCAGGCAGTGGTGGCATACACCTTCAATTCCAGCACCAGGGAGGAGGAAACAGGAAATGATATGGCTGGGGAGAGGAGGTGATAAGGCAGGGTGAAGACAAGAGCTTAGTCCTTTTGGGACTGAGAAGTTGGCAAGGTGCGGGATGGCTGTGGTTTGCTCCTTTGTCTCTCTGATCTTTCAGCATTTACCCCAAAATCTGACTCCAGGTTTTATTAAGATCAATTAGAATTCTTACTATAATGCTATACTGAGAAAAGGTACCAAGTTATGTGGATAAACATAGATAAGTACTATGGATTAGTTTAAATATAAGAGTTATCTAGTAATAAGCCTGAGCTATTGGCTGAGCATTTGTAATTTATATAAGCCTCTGAGTGATTATTTGGGACCAGGCAGTCGGGGGGAAAAATTCGACTACACATGGTTTCATTTATTTACTTATTTTTCTGTATATGAGTGTTTTGCCTGAACATATGTCTGGGCCCGATATAGGTGTCAGATATCTGCCATGCGGTCTTCAAAAGCAGCCAGTGCTCATCATGGCAGAGCCACCTCTCCAATCATGCTCTTGAAACCCTGGCAATGGACAAAAACTCTGTCATCAAGTTTCTGTTCTGGTGGACATGGACATCATATTTTTGTTAATTTCTGCTGACATGCAGGTTGGAAAGTTCTTGATCCTCTGCAATAGCTTGTTGAGACTTCAGCAAGCTCTCAGTAGGGCTCTATTCCATGTTGTTTCCCAACCACCCTGGCATTCATGTTGGGTACAAAGACTACATTTTAATTAACAAAACAGAACAGCATTTGACAGGCCTTCATTTCTGCATAGGTTCTCAGAAGTCTCGCCATTCCTGTACTCTTCCCCCCTACAGAAATAATTATCACTGCTATGGACTCTTTGATGGATCAGAAGGCCTGAGCTCCACCGAAAACCCTTACCACACACATCGCACGTGTAGGGTTTCTCTCCTGTATGAAGTCATTGATGAGCTTGAAGATTTGACCTCTGGCTGAAGCCTTTCCCACACACCTCACAGATGTATGGCTTCTCCCCAGTGTGGACTCTGTGATGGGCCTGGAGACTGGAATACCCACTGAAGCCTTTACCACACTGTTCACATTTGTAGGGTCTATCTTCTGTGTGGATCCTCTGATGTGCTTGGAGACGGGAACTCTCACTAAATCCCTTCATGCACATATCACACTTGTATGGTTTTCCCCCTGTGTGGACCCTGCGGTGTGCTTAGAGGCGGAAACTCTGGCTGAAGCCCTTCCCACACATCTCACACTTACATGGTTTCATTCTGGTATGGACTCTCTGGTGACCTTGTAGATATGCTCTCTGACTGAAGCCCTTCCCACACACCTCACATATATATGGTCTCTCTCCAGAGTGAATGCTCTGGTGGCTTTGAAGGTATGATTTCTGACTGAATTCCTTCCCACACTCAACACACTGGTAAGGCTTCTCTCCCGTATGGACTCTCTCATGGGCCAGGAGAGTTGAGGCCTTATTGAAGCCTTTGCCACACTCTCTACATTTATAGGGCTTTTCTCCTGTGTGAACCCACTGATGAATTTGAAGATTAAAGCTCCATCTGAAGCCCTTCCCACACTGCTCACACTTGTATGGTTTCTCTCCAGTGTGAACTCTCCGGTGGGAGTGTAGGTAGGCACTCTGACTGAAGCTCTTCCCACACGCCTTACACTGATATGGTTTCTCTCCTGTGTGGACTCTCTGGTGAATGGTAAGAACCCATCTGTCACTGAAGCCTTTCCCACAGGTGTTGCATTTGTGTGGCTTAGGTTTCTGCTGATCTTGGGGGCTAGAACTCCACTTACAGCCATTCCCACACTCTTTATAAGTAGGTTTCTCAAGGAAGTCAAGTTGTTGATGGCTTGGAATACACAATTTTTGATCAAAGCTTGTACTGCATAAATGTTTATGTGGTTGTTCCCTGGGGTACACTGCTGAAAAGTCCTGGAAATGTGGGGGCAGACTGAAGTGGTCACCACACTCAGAGTTATAGACAGTCTCTGCCATGTTAACTTTGTGCTCAGTGTTAAAATTTGAGCAATGTGTGAAATCTTTTCTACACACCACACCTGGATGTAGTTTTTCTTCACCGTGGATGTCCTGATTAGCTTGAAGATACAAACTCTGACTAGAAACATTCCCATTCGCCTCATACTTGTTGGGCTCTTCCCTAGTGTGGACCATAAAATTACTATTATAGTGTAAACAACAAGGCAAAGCTTTCTCAGGGATGCCGCTCTTCTGGGAGGTGTCGCCCGGGTGGACACTTCCACAAGGGTTGAGAGGGTAGGCATGATGGGCGTTCTCACTGCCCTGGCACAGCATTTGCTCTGTACACAGTCTCAGAGGGGACCACAGAAGAGAACTCTCAGCCGTACCTTCATCTCCTGTTTCCACACTCTGATGGAAGTGAAGAGCTGACCTGTCCTGACAGCCCTCACCATGTGAACTGCATGGACAGTGCTTCCCTCTTGAGTTCAACTGCTGATGTGTGTGAGAGCCAGGCTCAATGTTGTCACCATGGCCACAGGCTTTTCTTAACTTACTACATGGGCAGGGCACCGGCCCTAATTTAATGAAGTCCTGCTTAAGTGAAGATACCTTCATGGTCTCTTCTCTGAGGTCATGGAAACTACAGCTTTCCCCCTTTCTGTGTAACCCCTCACTGTCACTGTGGTATGAGAACCAACTGACGCTGTCACATCCATGGAATTGAAGTCTCATGGGCATTTGCTGACCTTTCCATTGGCGATTACACGACCCACTGAGATGTGATTCCTGCCAAGACTGCTGGGCTCTCAGTGAAGGAAACTCTTGACTTCTCAGAGAGGCAGAGTCATCATCTACAGGAGGCAACACGTAGTTCCCATCCTCAGAAATCTGAACCAGCCGCCCTGCGCACACCAGGAAGGAAGAATCTCCCTGGTTCTGAGACTCAGTGTTGCTCTTTAGACATCTTTTCATGGAATCCTGATCCCTGGGTAACAAGCCTGCACCCTGTGGCCAGGTCTGACAGGAGGAGAGCTCTCTGGGACAAAGGGAGCTTAACTCCATGTCTTCATCATTCTCCACAGCACGTCCACCCTGGCTTCCTATAGGATGAGAATCCAGACAAACACACAAGTGAACACCTTACTGAGAGATGCTGGTGTGTAACACGTGGCTCACATCAGGAGACAGAAAGGCCACACTGATTCTGTGGAGACTGACAAAACACTTGACACACACAGGAAACACAAACCCAGGGCTCTGTGGGGGCCTCAGATGTGGGTTTTCTGCAGGGCAATAGTGGAGCAACCTTTAATCCCAGCACTCAGGAGATAGAGATAGGCAGGTCTCTGTGAGTTCAAGGCCAGCCTGCTTTACAGAGTGAGTTCCAGGACAGCCAAAGCTATACAGAGAAACCCTGTCTCCAAATAAAAACAAAAACAACATGAGTTTTCCTCATTCTTTTTTGTTCGTTTTGTTTGTTGGGTTTTGTTTTGTTTTTTGTTTTGTTTTTCAAGACAGGGTTTCTCTGTGTAACAGCCTTAGCTCTCCTGGAACTAACTCTGTAGACTAGGCTGATCTCGAACTCACAGATATGGGTTTTCTTAACAAAATCAGGGTATTAAACGTGGCCCCATTCAAAAGGTCTAGTGAACTCTAAGCATGTCATTGTGGTTTATCATGGGCTGTTAGATGATCCAGTAAAGAAAACAAAAGGGGATGTTCCCAAAGTAGAAAAATGTCAGTTTTTGTCTCTCTCTTGACTCTATGTGTCTGGGCACTCTCACTTTTTGTGTGTGTATGTGTGTGGTCTCTGTGTGTGTGCATGTGTGTGTGTGTGTGTACATGTCTGTGTGTGCTCTATATCTGCGTGTGTGCACACATGTGCTCTACCCATGGTATGATCTGAGGGAGTCAGTTTACTCCCTCCTAACATCACAAAGGTTCTAGGGATGGAACTTGGGTCTCCAACTTGGGGGCAAGCACCCTTACTCAAGGAGCCATCTGAGCAGCCCTGCTCTAAGCACTTTAAAAGCCATTATGCTATTTGTGAAGTGGGGACCAGTGGAGAGTTAAGGAGAGAAATGCTATTCTCTGCCCTGTTAGGGAAAGCACTCCTGCCACTGGTCCAGCAGCATCCCCCCCCCCGAGATCTCACCTCCTTGGGCCTCCACCACGCAGAGCTCCTCTAAATTCTGCAGCTGGGCTATCAGACCCAGTGTAAAGGGCTGGGGTGCTATGTGGAAAAAGACAGAAAAACAAAAGTTTGATGATGTCTACTTTGTCAAAACTAGATCTATAGAAAAAGAGTGGGTATGAAGGTATATGTCTATCATACCTGTATCTGGGGGAGAGGCAGGTAGATCAGAGGTTCAAGCCCACCCTCAGCTATACAGCAAGTTTGAGAACAGTCTAGCTTGGCCTATAGAGAGAGGTGTTGTTTACTGGATTGCCCCTTACACAGCTCAGAGCCACCTGGCAGAGCTGGCACCACCCACAGTGGGCTAGGCCATGATCATAGGAATAATCAATCAAAAAAATCCACACAGACTTGCCCACAGGACAACCTGGCAGAAGCATTTTCTCAAGTGAGGCTCCTCTTCCCAGAAGACTCTAGCTTGTGTCAAGTTAATAAAACCAAGCAGGCTCCCATATAGAGCTCAAAGGACAGATGGACGGAGCCATGAGAAACCTGTGCTTCCAGTTAGACAACCAAGCCCAGACAACAACTCCAGCAGTTCCCAGGCTCCCAGTACTGGTCCCAGTCGCTCATCCGGGAAACCCAGACCCCATCCTCACCCACTGAGAGCAGCATCCTGAAGGTCTCCAGCATCACATCACGGTACAGCTTCCTCTGGGCAGCGTCCAGCAGCCCCAGCTCCTCCTCGCTGAAGAACACAGCCACGTCCCTGAACGTCACCATATCCTGGGACAGCAAACACATGCGAGTTATAACTACAGAAGAGGTGAGGCTGAGATGTGGAGGGAGGACATTGTGGGACTCAGAGCCTCTCAGCTGGAAGTATCGGTCTCTGCCTGCCTTCCATCTGCTGGGTCCACCCATCATGAGGGCTGCAAAGAAATCCTCATATTTGTGTGTGCTTGTATACATATGTGGTGCATGTGTGGATGTGTGCATGCATGTGGATGCACAATGTATGTGAGTCTGTATGTGCATATGTCTATACTTGTCCAAATGCACATGGAGGCCGGAAGCTCACACTGGTGTCTTTCTCCGTTTCTCTGCATCTTGTAGTGATATTTTGTTTATGTTTACAAAGCTTGCCTGAAGATCAGAGTATAGTGCTAAATCACAAGAAGTCAGGGAGTGGTGGCTCACACCTTTAATTCCAGCACTTGAGAGACAGAGGCAGAGGGATCTCTGTTAGTTAAAGATCACCCTGGGCTACACACGACTGAATCAGTCTAAAAGAGAAACAGAGCTAAAGAGAAGGTGACCCCAGCACTTGAAATCCGTTACTTTTAATCCCAGCACTCGGGAGAAAGAGGCAAGTGGATCTCTGTGTGTTCGAGGTCAGTCTGATCTACAGAGCCAGTTCCAGGACAGACTCCAAAATTACACAGAGAACCTGTTTTGAAAAACCAAAAAAAGAAAAAAAAATCCTGCTTCATAGAAAAGACTGTCGAATATTCTAGACCTGTAGGCCAAAGATGGACGCCCCAGTGTTGCAGAGGAACCTGGGGTGACTGTGCAGGCAGACAACTGTTTTTGTCAATTCTCACACTTTTTGGAATTAATTTGCTCATACTTCCTGCTTACTCAGTTAATACTATCTCCTTCTCGGGTATCTGAGGGAGTTGAAGACCAGAGAGTTACAGTTAGAGTTTTGCTTGTTTACCAGACTCAGAAAAGAAATCCATTAAAGAGGAACAAAGTGTATAAGGTTGGAAGATATCAAAAGATAGTTTTGAGTGGTAACGCAAATTAGGATAGAAAGTGAATTAGGTACAACACTTTGGACCCACGATAGGCTAGATAATGTAGTATTTTCTCTGAATTTGTCAAATACAAATGGACTAGACATTTGTTGATGTATTTCTTGCCTGTATGTATATATTGTATATAGCTATTGCACTTATTGTATATAGTTTTTCTTATATTAGTTATAGCCTTCTATTTTAATTTAGACAGAAGGGAGAAATGAAGTAAAGCTTCATTTATATTTTGACAAATAAAGCTTGCCTGAACATCAGAGTGCAAAGTCACAAGAGGCCAGGCAGTGGTAGCACACATCTAATTCCAGCAAGTAGAGACAGAGGCAGACAGATCTCTGCTAGTTCAAGGCCACACTGAGCTACACAAGCTGTTTTTCTTTGGTCTAAAAAGAAAACAGAGCTCACAGAAAAGTGATCTCAGCACTTGGGATCCCACACCTTTAATCCTAGCACTAGGGAAGTGGATACAGGAGTGCTATGTACAGAAAGAGAGAGAAATATAAGACAGGAGGAGACAAGAGCTCAGGGCAGTCTGAGGTGTCAGGGAGACAGATGGAGTCTGGAGATGCAGTACAAGGACAGGATTGCCCCGTAGGTCTGATCTCTGATAGATCAGAACTCTCTAGTGGCTGGCCTCTCTGCTTCTGTGAGCTTCAGCATTAACCTCTACATCTATCCAACTCTGGATTTTTATAACTAAGATGTACTAGAACTCAGACTACAGCATCTGAAGAAAAACTATGACTTTGTTATTTTGTGCGCACGTGTGAGTGTGTCTCATGACAAGCACATGGCATGGCACATATACAGAGGTCTTCCAGGAGTTGGTCCTGGTCTTCAACCTCGCAGAAACACAGAGGAGGGTCCATTCTCTCTTGCTGTACCTGCTGTACTGTTTATTCCAGGTTAGCTATGCTACCAGCTTCAAGCTGGTTCTCCTGTTCCCTCCATAGTGGGAATACAGCTGTGCACCACATCTGGCTTTTTATGAAGATTTCAAGGATTGAACTCAGGTCATCAGGATTGCATGAGCCATCTCCCCAACCCCTTCCACACTGCTTTATAACAGTTTGTTATCATTGACTCTGGACCTCACCGTTTAAATCAATCCAGTAATAATTATTCTCTTGTCACATATTAACTATATCTTTTCAAAATGTTATTTCTTATTTATCTGTGTGTTGTGGTGTGTGTGTGTGTGTGTGTGTGTGTGTGTGTGTGTGTGTGTGTATTGAAAGGGGGACGTAGCTGAGTGGGGAAGAGGGGACAAGTGTGAGAGATGTAAGCAGAAACGTGAAGGTATGCAACTATGTGCAGAATGTGTGGAGAATACAATTCCACGAGAATGGATGTAACGATGTGTAGAGGTCTATGGCTGTGCAGTAGGGGAGCTGCACATATGCAAAGCATGTAACTGCTGAGACAGAGAGCTTCTCAGAGAGGGTTTTTAAGATGACGTAAAAGAGAAAGTTACCATCAGAAAGCATGTCTGTTTCCTTATTTTCCCCTCAGATAGAAAAGGTCTAGCCCTCGCCTCATTCATGAATATTTCGCATACCCTGGGTACAGCCTAAATACTCCAGCCACTGATAACAGATGATGGGGCTAGCCCAGGCTACAGAGTAAAATCTTAGCTCAAAAAAAAAAAAGGAAGAAAAGAACATTAACCTCTCCGACACACAAAGGGGAGGCTCCGATTGGACAGATGAGAGCTATGACGGCAGCTCAGTAGGTAAAGGCACTTCCTTGTCCAAAGCTTGACGACCTACGTTCAATCGCAAACCCACATGGTGG